GTTAGTCTTCTCAACAATCCTACGTGGTAGTTATCATTATTAATGTTTAACTCATAGTGCAAAACTGAAGCAGAAATTGAGGGGAAGAACCTTATCAAAGTTTTTGGAATACAGTTTGTCTAACTGAATACCCCATGCTCTTGCTACTATAATATTTTGGCCTTTATATTTATAGTATGATTTTAATTAACAAAGTCTCCAAATCATAACTATTATTATTACCTTTGCAACAATAGTGAGCTGGATGATTTTATTCAAGAAACAATTTCACTGAAAGGAAAAAAAAAAGAGGCTAAATGATCAGATCACAGAAGGATGATGGTCATGATACTGCCTGAGATGATGGTGGGGGGAGAAGCAGAAGCTAAGAGGGCATCGGTAGGGGAGTAGAAGGCAATTCTGATTGCTGGGCAGGGGTCAAGTGAACAAGGAGAGAGAAAGTTTCATTAAGGATCAGAAGTGAAGAGGATCCTGGAAGGACATCTAGTCTAGAGTGACCCTTTAGAAAAGGAATCTAAGACCCAGAAAGGGGCTTAGTGTAGCTTGCTGATCTTTAGAACTTTAATCTGCTTTTGACAATAAAGGAAGATTGCTGTTAGAACAGATGGTCATTGTAAATAAATATTCCAGTGGAATCCTGGAGACCGCATATTAAAACAAAGTACCACAAAGCAGCATCTCTACTGTTCATACTTATAACTGAACTCAATTTTGCTGCCATGTATTGGGCAGGTGGCACAAATCAGCAAATAAGATGTTCAGAACATCAAGTTTAGGATAAAATCTTAACCAGAAAGTAAATGGAAAGTAGTTTCTGTGCTTCTATTTAGAATATATTTCACCAAGATTAAGAACTCTTGGAAAACACACACCTATCATAAAATATAATACTAAATATGTAACATTTCACAAATATGTTGTTTTTGTAATAGTAACTACGAAAAATGTACCCTAATTTCTACCGTATTTATACTTCCTTTACCCTTTTTTTGAGGATATGGAACACCCAGCACATAATAAAGCCTCAATCAGTATTAGTTGAGTTGAATATTTTTTTCTTACATCTGAAAAGACAGACAACATAGTTATCCTAGCATGTTCTTCACAGAGTATTATGTATTACACTGGTAGATATTTGCCTTGGATGATTTATTTCATACACACCTCTAACCACAGAACCTTTCAATATGTAATTACATAAATTTTTTTTTTTTGGTTCTAGAATAATCTTATCTCAAAAGGAAGTTGCTAACTTAGAGGAAGGAGGCTTTCACATGAGGAAGGCCTTTTTTTTTTTGGTCATTTTAATTACACAACTATAATACATTTATCACATACTTTTAAACCTCTGAGTCACTGAACCAAAATTATTTATATTCATTCATTTTTAATAACTCTTTGATTTCAAACAGTAATGATTTAGTCCACTCATTATTTGATTTTCTTAAACATTTTATATGTCAGTTATTGAGTTGTATCCATGTAATAATTAACCATTAGGCAGCACATGTATTCACAATTGAAATAACTTGAGATTAGGTTAGAGTAGTTGGGGGTGGAGGATAAAACCCTATGTATTTGTCAGGGCATATCTTGTTTAAGATATAACCCTGTCTTCAAGGAATTTATAGGCTGTATGTATGGATAATAATAATACACATGGAAAAACCTAAAAAATTATATAAAACAAGACAGTTAAATGCTGTATTTTATGGCAGCAGTCCCCAACCTTTTTGACACCAAGGACCAGTTTCATGGAAGACAATTTTTCCATGGGTTGGTGTGGGGGAGATGTGGGAAAGCAGAGCTCAGGAAGTGATTCATGGCCCTGTTTTCCTAATAGGCCACGGACCAATACCATGGGGACTGCAGTTTTATGGTATATAATATGTAGATATTATGCTGAATAATTACAAGAGTATTCAGTAATAAGAGATCATGTTATATTGAAATGCCCAGGCAAGGCTTCTTGAAGAAAGCTGAATTTCACTTGGACATAAGAGATTGTATGTGATTCAGATAGTCAGAAAAAAATGAATAAGACTGAGGAAGAATACAAGAAAGGGCACAGAGTTAGGGCCAGTATGGACCTGAGCAGTAAACCAGCAAAAGTCTACCTGATTGAGCTGAAGATTGGGGGTATAAAGTAATAGACAATATTTAGGAAGATTGTTTGGAGCCATTATTAATTTTAAAAACTTAATTCCTGCCTTCAAATAGTCATGTTTTTAGTTTGTTCATTTCTAAATCAAGTCACTCAAGTAAATCAGCTCATGTATTAAGACTCTAAGTCATCATATAGATATATCTAAGTTTTAGGTTTGAAATCTTTTTAATTCAAAGTAAAACAGTCCATATTTTGTATTCTAAATATGAAGTATTCTTCTATTTTAACCACTAAAAATTTCCACTATGTAATTTGGATCAGCACACCTGAAGAAAACCCTTCAGTCTGAATTCAAGGGGAGAGAATTGCAGATTTAATACCCAAGTTACATATATATTAATAGTATCTGATAGTCGTGTTTTGGGATCTCTCATTTTGGTCTACAGTATTTCTTATGTGCTCTGAGAATGTTGGTGGTTACCTAAGAAGTAAAAGCATTATCCCAATCACAGACAGCTTGGTCTTCAACTGCATTGTTAGACTATTTTAATTTCTTGGACTTCCTTGCTCAGTGCACAACTATCCACTGACAATCCAGTCTGTTGCCTGTAGTGGAGGGGCTAACAATGCTCCACAGGAGCTACCAGTTACTATGACTCACATTGCATTCATCTTAGTCAGCAAGCCTTTTCCAGGGTTGCATTCCCTTACCCTTTCTAACAGCCTTCCTTGTTTTAGGAGGCAAGGGAAGGAAGAAAGGCAGACAAATTATTGAAATATTCGGTGCATTATATATCATGCACTCTGACCTTTTTTTAATTTTATTTATTTATATATATTTTTTTATTTTAGCATATTATGGGGGTACAAGTGTTAAGATTACATATATTGCCCATACCCCCCTCCCCCCTCAAGTAAGAGCTTCAAGCGTGTCCATCCCCCAAATGTTGCACATCTTACTCGTTGTGGTTGTATATACCCATCCCCTCCTCCGTCCTCCCACCCTCCCGACACCCGATAAATGTTACTCCTATATGACTCTGACCTTTTCATGTGGCTTTTTATTGCTGGAAACTATTTATGAAATAGGATAAGACCTTTCCCTTATGTTACGAAAGATGTGATTGTACAGCAGACCTTTGACATTTGCTAGAATATTTTCCGAGACCTTTTCCATTTTCCCAAATTTGCAAATATCTTTGTAGATTAGCAGTTGGATTTCTTTTGAGGCCATTTTACAAGGAAGAACTCTTTTGTCTATTTATGATGATAAAGTACAATAAAACCTAAATGAGATTTGGATACTGATGAGTTGGTAAGCACACAGATCACCTAAGTGACCTGGTGACTTACTCATCATGAAGCAGAAATTAATCGAATTTGCCTCAGCAAAATTATACATTACCATATGTCAGAGACCTTTGGGGTCTCTTCATGTTGAATCTTCAAATGCCATGGTATTGCTGTAGATCATAAAGGGTAATTATATTGTTTTCATTTTAGTCCTCTTCCTCCTCCCCCGCCCCCAATAGCAAAACATCTGAGCTGGTCATTTAGGACAGATCTTGTCATTGTGCTTAGTAAAAAAAGTCATGACAACCTTAATGAAAAAATGATAGAAGCCTTATATTTGTACATAAAAACAACCATCTAACTTTTATCAAGTATCTATGATGTGCCAGACATTGTGTTGTGTACATATTTCTTTACCTTGCCCATGCAGAAGAAACCCTGGAGATTTTTAAAAACACATATAATCTGGTCCAAACTCAGACTTGCTGAATCAGTCTGATGTTGAGGACCTGGGCTTATAGCTACCCCTTAAACTATTCTCAGACAAATCACTTAATTTTTCTACCTGAGCTTGGTAGTAGTTTGCCTTGTGCTGTACCTATAGAGAATGGCTCACTCGAGGGTCATACAGCTGCTGAGCGGAGGTACCATAATAAATACTCAGGTTTATCTGATGCCAAACCCCATGTTCTTTTCCACTGTGTAATAAGTTTATAGTTTTTCAAACACTACAAAAATTTCTTCTTTGTAGCTTTTTTTTTAATCTCTTTTCAAGATTTCTCCCTGATATCTTTGGCTCTACTGTGAGTTTTATGTAAATGGAAGACTGCATAAAGGATTTCCTCTTTGTAAAGCTATTTTTCTTTTTTGATTCCTGCATTTACTAATTCCTGTTCCATTTCTCTAATCTTTAAAATAAAAAAACATGACACTCAAAATATTCTTTCAATTGTGATTCCATCTTTTTCTTTCTTTTTATAATGAAATCTCAAATGGATGAACTGATTTTTCTCAACAGTGGCTGGCTTATTTTTTATTAAAATAGAATGTATTATTAAAAAATTGCAAAATTGATTATAAAAAGAAAATAAAGATACTCATAGTCTTACCCATCACTTCTCAGAAATATTAAGTGTAAATCTTTTAACATGTAGTATTCTTCTGTTTTTCAACATGTAAACATATATATTAAACAAAACTAGAGTTATATTTTGTTTTGTAAAGTTGTTTTTTTAATTTAGTATACTGTGAACATTTTCTCCTCTTTCTTACATACTTTTTTCTAAGTACGGATAATGTTAATGTATGCATATTATTCTATCAGATAGAGGGGCCACTATTTATTTAACTAGTCTCTATTGTTCAAAATTAAAGTTATTTGCCATTTTCCACCCTTATGAATAATACCAAAGTATGTATAAATTTCAGTGATTTTTCCTTAGGATAAATTTCCAAGTCTAATTACTGAATTAAAGTAATAGGACTCTTAGCACAGACCTTTGTTAATAGCTACTTTACATTTTACCTTCCTAAAATGACAACAAAGGGCATATGACCTAGACCATTAAGAACAAATATTTTTATTTCTAAACCCAATGAATACTTTCTACTTTTATTTTATTTCCCCTCTTAGCAACATTTAGCACTATTGATTCTTCTTGATATATACTCTTCCATTGGCTTTTCCATTTTTCTTTTCCATTTTTTTCTCCTGCTTCTCTGGTCACTTCTTAGATTCCTTTGCAGGTTCTTTTTATCTATCTGTCCCTTGAATGTCTTTATTCCACATAAGGCCCTCCTAGATTCCTTTCTTCTCTCATTCCACACATGGGAGATTCCCTGGGCATGTCATGAGGTTAGTGGCTTAAATTTTCACCCATGTGGTGCTCGCTTCGGCAGCACATACACTAAAATTGGAACGATACAGAGAAGATTAGCATGGCCCCTGCGCAAGGATGACACGCAAATTTGTGAAGCATTCCATATTTTTGGAATGGCAGAGGCAATATATGTAACCCTAATAATATTTGTACCCTCATAATATGAAAACATAAAAAATTAAAAATTTTTTCACCCATGTGCTCATGACTCCTAAGTCTAAATCCTAAGTCCAAAAGCTCTTTCTTAGTTCAGAGCCGTATGTGCACCCTTTGCCTACTAGAAGGTTCTGCAGGCACTTCAGCTTCAATATGTCCAACATTGAATTCGTCATTTCTCCCTAAACTGTTTTTCCTTTTATATTCCCTGTGCCATGGTGCTGATGATAATAATTATTGCTAACACTGAGTGCTTAGCTTATGTGCCAAGATTATTCTAAGTGCTTCACATGAATTAGTCATTTAATTTTGGAAGGAAGTATTGTCATCTCCATTTTATGCATGATGAAACTGAGATACAGAGAAGTTAAATGGTCCAAGATCATTCCGCTTTTAAGTGACAGAGCTGGGAGTCTAGCTATAAAGCCTTTGTCTTAACCAGTGTGTATCACTGACTCAGGTGCTCAGGCCAGAAACCTGGAAGTCATTTTTGGCTCACCTGTCTGCCTTCTCACATACAGTGAAATCCCAAACAAGGCCTTTTGATTCTACCTTCTAAATCTCTCTCAAGTTAATTCTTTTCATTCTTAATGGCATTCTCATCTGGGCATCTATCATATCTCCCCTGAATTATCATACAAGTGCTCAGCTAGTCTTTCCAATTCTGCTCTTGCCTATTCCTGTCTCCACATTATAGCTGGAGCATCAAGCCTTTTTATGAAAAGGGGCTGGCAGCACACTAAGATAGATGCTCAGGTTCTAGAGTCAGAAAACCTGGGTTAGAATTACAGTTTCACCAGGATTAGCAGTGTAATTGGTCAGGTTACTTTCCCTCAGCCTCAGCTTTATTATCTGTAAAATAGGAATAATAATAGTACTTACTTTACGTGACTTCATAGGGCTCTTGTGAGGATTCATTGAAATCATATACATAAAGCACTTATTACAGTGCCTGGAAAAATAGTAAGCACTCAATAAATGTTACAGTACAAATCTGATTGTGTCATCTCCTGGCCGAAATCCTCTCTAGGTTTCACAGTGCTCCCATGTTAAATCTCCTTTAACATGATTTGCCAGGCCCTCTATGACGTATCTCTCTGGCCTTGTCCTCCATCTCCCTAATTGTACCATTTGTTCTAGCCTTACTGAACCACACTCCTTTCCTAGAATGCACAGTGCTCTGCTCTGAGCCTTCTCCATTGTAGCCATAGGCTCCTTCTCAGCCTGTACGTGTCACCTAAGGTAGACATTTCATTTGAAAAGCCTTCCCAACTGTCCTAGGGTTTGGATAGGTCCCTAGCTTTATGTTCCCTATATGGATGTTTTTCCTACTAATATTTGACATATGTACATTTTTCTTACTGTGTTAATCCTAGTTTAGTTGTCTATTTCATCTGTTAACTTTCAGTTTCCTCACCATAAGAATCAAATCTATTTCACTGACTTTTTATCTCCAGCCTTCAGCATGTAATACTCTGTAAACTTTTTGAGCCAATCAACTAATTGGTCAAACTAATTTTATACCCTGTTATGTTCCAATAAAGACTTAAACTGACAAATATGTATGATATAATAATGACAGCAAAACATAAGCAATCAAGGTAAAGGGAAAATAAGGGTAAACATTTTAAAAACTAGATGTGAGTTTAGTATACAAAACATATAAGTTTATATATTCCTATAAAATATGGATTCAAAAATTGGCTGAGTTTTCCTTTTATAGAGGGGAAACTGAATGGTATCATTGACCAAGTCCATAAGATTAAAGCAAACCAGATGCTCAGCAAAAGGATTTCTGAAAGACTTCAGAGAAATTTCTCCCATGATTCTTCACAAAGAGAACATTGTACATTGTCATGACTAAGATCCTCAACAGCATCTTTATATGAAATATAATAAAAATTTTAGGGTTAATCCACATAGCCTCATTGTAGTGTTCATCCGTGTTGGCTAATGGCATAATGAGAAAAAGCAATCTTATAAACGGTCAAAACACTGGTACTCTATATGGATTTACAGGGTCTCAACTCTAAAAGTATAGATAGACTGCATTTCCTTCAAACCATTCTCCATAAAAAGTATTTTGCTTTCTGAGGTTTGGATGAGAATCAATTCACACTAAGTTTGGTTACTCCTTGTAAAGCATCTGCTCTACACATATTTTATATTATGAATTAAGTTCAGAACCAAGGGCTTTAGTATTAGGTATAGCTGGGAGTAGGATTCTCTTAGGGAAGTTAAAAAGCCTAACATATTTCACACATAAATTGAAGGCTGCCCTACCTCCCAGTAGGTTTGCCAGTATGTTCCTCAGAAAGCAATTGGGATTTATGTGTTTTTTGTGTCTTCTACAATGCTTAACAAAATAGTGCCTTACATAGTAAGTGGACATTGCCCAAAGTTCAGGTCCTGGTCTGTGTGGCCTTGTTGGTCTTGTTTCTTGCTGGGATTCCATGCCCTCCCTTCAGACCAGCTAAATGGGACTCACTTTTCTCATGCTGTTTAATCTCCTAAACTGTTCCCAACCCTCTGTTCAAGTGCCTTTTCCACTTCAAATAATTTCCTGACCTCTCCAAATTATTGGGGTTCCCTCTTCTTATTCTCATCATAATCTATGCATTTATCTTAATCACTTTTTTCATATTCTTTTGTAACCCATGATTTTATTTTTTGTTCTCATTCTCTTTCTCTGTCTTTATATCTCTTTGGACTTTGAGCTCCATTAGGATAGATACTATGTCTTGTTTGTTTTATATCTAATATAGTGCCGTGAATATTTTAGGTACTCAGTAAATTTATGATTTTATACAAATTTTTATAGATCTATTTTCAGTGACTCACATACACATATGCACATCTGATTAGTAATGCCCCCTACCAACCTTCAGTCTAGAGATCAGATAATTAAGATATTAATTTATGTAGGGCCCCTTCGTTGCAACAGAGGTGAGATTTGTGGCAGTGCCAGAGGGCCACCTGAGGCATAGTGGGTAATAACTATCTTAAGATACTGCCTTTTTTAACTAGTAAAGGATAAAGGGGTGAATTATTTATTTATTTTAGATTATGTACACCTTTAATAGAGAAATAAATGAGTAAGGTCTTGACATTTGATCATATAAAATTCAGTGTGGAAATATGGCTCTTAATTAAATGCTTCCATGGTTTATTGGTATCTCATTGAGTTTCATATTCTGAGATGGTGCTAAAGAGACAGTTATGGCAGCCTGTGCCTCTCTTCAATAGGAGAAGCATTTCGTCCTGGGGTTATATACTGTTGCTCTAACACCAGCCAGCTGTAATAAATGCCTGCTATTGTAAAGGCAGGCCTGGGTTATACTTACTGCATGTCTTATGGCACCATTTATAAATATATTTTCAAATATATGTTTTTATTAGTTAGAATCACCTTCATGGATGAGTGAAAATTATATACATGTTGTATTTTACGCATTCAAAAGGCATGTCTGTGTCTAAATATTGGTGTCCTGTTATGTTTATATTATTTAAGAGTAACACACTGAAAAATGCTAACAGTGACATTTACAAAATATGTTTATTTTAATATTCAGAATTGTGGAAGAAGCTTTTGTAAGTAAACTTTGTGGAATTGCCTTTGAGTGATAACTTTCCGTAGACTGTACACTGACCATAAAGAATATTGTTACATACATTGAAATGCTCTGTCAATTTTCCCCATGAGGGCAAAAGTGAGAGGTAACAGCAGAGAATGTGAATTGCTGTGCTGTCATGATGCTCTTAACTCACTGTGTGGCAGATGTACACTACATGTTTATGTCTCTAGAACGTTGTTTGGAGCAAGATATATAAGAGTTTTGGGTGAATATGCAAAATGTATGTAACAATATACTTTAGCCTCCTGTTCATATGAAAATCAAAATTTATTCTCAGTGAAGGTGATTTTAGCCTGAATCTAAACCCTGTGGACCCTTGAATCCAGAAATTCATCTTAACAGGAGCTTATGCTTACTTTTTGGTTTTGTACAGTATGGAATTTCATTGTGAATGTATTATATTTCTTTTTTGGGTTTGTCCAAAAAAGGTTTTTCTTGTTCCTCTTTTATTCTGGACATGTGTCCACTTCCTTACTTATTAAGGTTGGGCTTTTTCTTTTAGCTTTATAGATTTTTTTCTTCCTTCTACAAAATATTCTTTCTGCATTTTTTCTAGTTATTAGGATCTTTTCTTGTATTTTTCTTAATAAATTGGGGTTATATACTGTTGCTCTAACACCAGCCAGCTGTAATAATTGATATTATAACAAATAAATTGATATTTGTTTTAAGTACCATAAATTAATGTTAAAATAATACTAACCTTGCTGGGTGTGTGTATGCACACATGTGAAACCAAGTTCACTTTTAAAAAATAGATTCTTATGAAAAAAAGTTCCACAAAAACATGAAACTAAATACAGAAATCATTTATTAATACTGAATATCTGAAAAATTGTTTGACTCTCTAAATTAGAGTCCTTTTCTCCATTTTATTTTGCATATTTTTATATATTATATATAAAGTTATATATTATATAAAATATTATTATATACATTTTGCTTCCTACACAGGCTTCCTATACTTATTTGACTGCTAAAAGCACCCAAACTCACTTTGTTGTAGAATCTGGGCTGAAACTAGTTTGGTGCTGTTACATAAGCTGGCTGCTCTGTACTGCATAAAGTGTAAGATGTTGAAAGGATGTCAGTAATTTTCTAATTCTACTGCCTTTCCCTAATGAAGTTATTTAGGAGAGTCAAGCATATGAGTCCTCAATTCCTTTAATGCAAGAATATTACGTTTAACTACCTAGAGTGAATTCCAAGGATTATCCTACCTAGTAAGATCATTGA